TGTGATTGTAAACATCATATCCCAGTTTTAAGAAAATCTGACAGAAAACAGTTTCTGGTGGCTGATGACTCCTTGCACAGGTGTGGGAGAGTAGATAAAAAGATGAGAGAATAAAATGTGGATTGTTCGTCATACTTTATAAAACCAAAAGATACAAACTGCTGTATATATCTGTCACAACAGCCAGTAGTATTTCTTCAACAGTCCTCTTAAATACATAAATAACTGGATCAGAAATGGAGGTCCATCTCTCTTCCCTCTCGCCCTCATGTTTGATTTAGGGTATCTAGGGAAATATAGTCCTAATGTTTGTGACTCAATGAGGAAGACTGCAGTACATGTACAGAAAAGATCTGAACTGAGGAGAGACAGCTGCAATCAGTATGTTTTAGTGTTTTATGTTCATTTGACAAGGATAGCAGATATAACTCTGATCTGTCTGTTTCCTATGCCCCGTCTCCTCTGCGTAAATCAGTCTGATCTGTAGGCTTACTGTTGCTGTTCCAGTGCACACTCTGATTTTGTCGGATCAGTGATCAATGCTTCAACATGCTGTAGGTGAACTAAAATAGATGAACAACCTGCACTTAATATAGTTTACTAATGCGTACTGTCATGGTACATAACGTGGATCTATGTGGAATCAGGACACGAGTATTGATTATGCATACAGGAATATGAATAACCAGGTTTCTCTGTGTGCATGTAAACGCTCTATCCCAAATAAGATAAAACCGGGAAACGACTCATAACCCAGATACGATGGTCCATTTAAACATGCCTACTGTATAACATACAGTTAGATTCAATTTATGTATGGATACCAATACTACCCAGGCATTGGCTAGAGACTTCTTAGAGGTCAGCTGATATTTGATTTACCAGGCCAACACTGATACCACTTTTTAGAATTAAGATTCAAATATCTCTGTTGTGAAATAAAGTTATCTCAGCAGATAGGTTGTTTGTTTTTCTATTCGTCTAAAAAAAAATGTTCCTACGTTGAAAGTATAATGCGCATATGCAAAGTGGGCCGTGACGAAACACTGGCTTAACATTGACAACTGTGGCTGCGGCATTTCAGAAATAACACCCTCACCATCGTTTTTATATCGAGATAACAAGATAATAAGTTGTTATCATGAGATAGCAGTGCATAAGAAAAAAAAACATGGCTGTTTTCTGTGAATATGGGCTGTCTATGCTTTATACTTTTTATTGTTGGGTAGGGAGACAGTTTTAATTGAGGTAGCCAATCAAACATATCCTTGATCGCTTCTAGGAGGCAGTATGGATATTGGAAAAAGCCCATGTCATCACCTTGACAGTATTGCTTCTGCTTTAAACCCCCCAATGCAGCACTTATAGATTTGCTAAAAGTCATTTATTGGATGATCGTATGCTCTGTAGTACTGACCAAGACAGGACACAGACTCGGATTAGACTGGATTAGTTTGAAAAGCAGGAGAAACCATTGAGACTGTAACAATCTGTTTGCTTAGCCCGAGGCTGAGAGACAAAGCAGAATGGGGATGGAGAAAAGGCAAACCGGGTGGGATTGGGTTTTAGGGGTCTGGCGGGGCTGTAGAAAAATCAAAAGTGTCTTTCCTCGGAGAAAGGTTATTTGTAAGGGGATTGTACTAAAGTAAGTTACAAAAGGAAAAATGCAATCTGAGAGGTGGGGACAAAAAATGTATGCGGGGATAAGAAAGATGGTTGAAATGAAAGAATGGAAAAGAGGTTTCAGAAATGTCGCTATAGGCATGTTAGTCGCTAATATAGAAAGTCTTAAAAGAAAGAATGTAATCTCTGAGGCTGCTGACTACTGCTTCATACATCATTTCTCATCAATAACTAAAATGTTTTATATAGGGGGTATGACTGTGTTGCTGAAAAGCAAGGAGTGATGCATTTCATTTGTATGTATCCATGACTAAATGACTGTCATAAGTACTGCAATACAAGACAAGTGTGATTTCCCACTTCCTCAGAGGACAGGAGTGCTAAAAATTCACTGCTTATTCCTTTTAACACTATAGAAGCTCTCAAAACACAACCTTTTATTATGAAAGTGCTTTATTTTTGTGTCAGATTCAGACAAAGAAAGGGGTTCACAGCCTTTCTTTATTATTCTCTTGTATTTCCTGCCCTCAGCTGCACTGTTTGAGTTAATATTTGACTTTGTAGCTGGTTTCTGACTTAAAGAGGTCCTTTCTGTGTCCCTGCCTTGATCTTCTCGCAACAGCCCCTTTCCCTCTTCTTTATTTATGTCGTTTTGTGTCGTTGGCACCTCTATAGAGTGGATTGCACTGGATTAGCTTCTCCGCCTTCCCAACTGATCCGATCCATTTTGTGTAATCCAACTCAATTTAATTATGTTTATCGTTCCACCTCGCTGGTGCCGAGGAGCAACAGCACACCTCGCCTGAGATAAGCCCGGGGACCTTGTGCCTTTTTTTCTGGCAGAGTGTCTGCCTGAGCCTGTTGCTTTATAAACAGATGGTGTAAGTCACCTACACACTTGGTAAATACTACTTGGGTACAATATTATGATTCAGAGCTTTCCCTGAAACATCTCTGTGACATGGATAAATATCCAAGGTTAAGATCGTAACCTTTTTTGAATGTTTTTTTTTTTTTCTGCTGTAATGGGAATTTGTCCTGTTTATCAACCTTCTCTCACCCTCTTGATCGTGTAAGAATTAACGTCCCTGCAATATGTGCATCCTTCATTCTTACTTGAGCTGGTCTAATCCTTGGCATTAGATTTCAAAGCTCACAATAAAAGTCTAAAAATCATATTACCAAGCACCTCATTGTCAGAGCTCAAAGATGGCTCAACCATGATCAAACTGTGACATGAAGCAATTCTGCTGCAAACAGTGTTACACACATATATATATGCCTTTAGGGTGCTGATGGGTGTTGATGTCAGAATTTCTATCTGTGTGAAAAATGCCTTCAATCCAGCCTCAAAGGTGTGTACTGTGTGTGTAGTTATGAGCACAAAGCAGCATACATTACAGAGCAGCAAGATGAGAGAATCTATGTCTTAAAATTGTGAGATGTGATACTGAGATAAAAAGCATTACTTTCTAAAGAGACTTTTTATTATAATACAGAATATGAAAACATAAAAATCAAGTCACATGCTTTGTATCATGGAAATGTAAATATTTTAAATTTCTTCAAAAAAACAAACATCACTGTGAATATTCATAAAGGGTTGTTATCATTTTGATTTAATATTTGATGGCATGATAAAAAATTTCAGCGCATTTTTCGTATTTCACAAGGTACCATTATCAGAAACGCACTCGGTTATTAATATCAGCATATTTTCCTAAATACCAGGTTTTACAATAACAGGAATGATAGGTGGTAGTTTCGCAAAGTTTTGTCAGCTTAAGGGGGCGTCACTGCCTGTGATTGGTTTACTGATGTTTTAGAGAAATCAAGTGAAACTAAAGCCACACTGCCCCGGATGGACAATATGTCAGAAATACATTACAGTTTGTTGAAGTCAGAATCCATATCCTAACCTTTTTGAACAATTTATGAATGTAGACATGTATAGAACTTTAATTACACTTAGTGTTAACTTGAAAGCAGAAATGTCTGAATTTAGACTGCCTCTCTGTGTGTGTAATCTGAAACATAAAGAGTTTGCTGCTCTATCAACCTATATAAAATATTTTAATATTCAGCGTGGGCAGCTTAATAATGCAGAGAATTTGCTGGATCGTTCAGCCCTTGGTCAGTACTTTACTGAAAATTCTTCACATTGTGATAATGTCCTATCCCACATTAGAATCCTTCATACTGTTGACAGAAAGCTTTGTAAAATAAACTAGTGGAGTTTAACTGCAGTTGTCTTACAAACTCGAACATGTCGTGCACCTTCCCTCACTGAATATTTGCTTGGCTCCTCACTAAAAGTGGGACATGAGACATGTTCATGTAGGCTGTAAAACAAAGTATGACAACTTGACAAGCAGTTTGCCGTCAAGCTTTCAGTCAATATCGTCAAACGATAGACTGCTGATGTTGCTGCTTTGTGCAAGATTTTGACTGGCTGTACTGAAATATGGTCTGAGGAGTTGGCACTATATTTATGTTTTCTAATAGGTGCCATATACTTTTTGACTGACCCTGCATTCAATGAGGATACAAGGTTTGGGAAGTATGGAGGGTGAAAAGAGATAGAATGAAATGTATAGATACATCATGAAATAAATACTTAAATATGTTATTAATTAATTAAAATGGGAATTAAATAAATAAATGTGTCATTAAATGTGTTGTTAATTAATTAAAATACCAGTTCATTCAATGTAAAAACATATAATTATTTCACTATTTAATTAATTATTTCATGGAGCAGCACTTCATGAATTTATTTTATCTGTTAAACTCGCCCATATAACAAGGGGTTAGGGTTAGGGTTAGGTAAGTTTGGGGGTTCAATCCCAGATCTGTCAACATGCTGAAGTGTCCTTGGGCAAGACACTTGACCCCGTCTGCCTCCAGTGGCTGCACCCAGTGGGATCAGTCAAAACAGATAGTGCCTCTGCCATCAGTGTGTGAACGTGGTGTAAATGGGTGAATGCGACGTGCGATGTAAAGCGCTTCGAGCAGCCAGAGGACAAGAGAAAGCACTATATAAACACCGTCCATTTACCTCTTTAAAAAAGAGGCCAAGGCGTTGGTAGCAGCTGGCATGAATCCTTTTTGAGCAAGGATGGTGAAAACAGAGAATACTTGAAGTACAAAAGGTTCTCTAAAATCATTTTGGGGCTGTAAAAGCTATCTTGTAATCATGTAATCATTTCAAACTCATTTACCCCAGATCCAGGAGATCTTTAAATGTGTCCTGCTGGGCTGTCTGCTTAATGTCTCTCAACTCTATTTCAACAGCCTGATATCCTAACTCTGTCCAATTTCTTGGTTTCTGTTTTTTTTTTTAAATTTTTTTCATAAATAAACAAACAGATCATTCAGAATGTATCACATTATGAAAAACCTAAATGCTGCTTGACATACAAGCAGCATTTAGGTTTTTCATAATGTGATACATTTTGTGGAGCCAGCTTTAGCAGACATGGTGAATAAGCTTGACGCCTCTTTCTCATTAATACAGCACAGCCACCAGATGCAGCCTGTGTGTTGTTTTTGTCTGCCTGTTATCTTGTCACTGCTGCTGTAAAACATTCATTAAGTCTTATAGGCAATCCATAAACAAGGGGTCAAATCAGGATATATGACCCTCATAACAAGCACAGTTATCCCCTCTCACCTTAGTGATAAAATTGTACTGTGGCTCCTACTTGACACCCCAGCCGATGGCTCATATGCTCTCTATCACTGTACCATTTGGCAGCACTTTGTGTTAAAAAGTCTGGCCCAAGATTTGCCCAATACGACGCTTGTTAAAGTTTGACCTGAAAGTTGATCTCTGTCTGCTTGTTAAATTTTTGTCTCTTTCAGGGACCATCATTAGACCATAGAAAATGTTTGGTGTATCTATGGGTCTTTTAAAAAAATAAATAAATAACCATTTTTTCAGTATATCTCGAAATAAAATAAAAAAACATATTCCTTGCAGCATACTGCTAAGAAGAGCGTGTCCCCTATTAAAGCGACAGACTGACTCATTATATTTCATTAAATAGAGACAGATGTTCTTCATGCATAAAGCCACTGAGCTCTATTTTTTAGTATTTGTCACTTAAAAATGGTTAAAATCGGAAAAACATCATCAAATCTAGAACAGAAGTTAACAATACGAAATGAAATCCAAAATGTTAATTATGCTAATCCTTAATGCAGCCTAGTCAGGCCAGAAAAGAGGGTTACATTAATGATACTTAGTTGTCTTAAAACTTTTGCTGTTATGGTCACGTTGGTTTGAATTAATGTCCTAAGAGTCATAATTATGGAGAGGAAACAGGTTGGTGATGCATATTTAACAAATATTTGGTGTTATCTTGGCGTTATTTTGCCCTAAATTATTAAACAAACACCAAAAATGTAATTTCCCTGAGGGAACCTTAACAGGATCAGTAATGTTTTGTCTAATCTAATTCAAAAATGTTGAACACAGATGGGATTAACATTGTCCTTCCCCACCTTTGGCAAATCCCATTTAAAAGTTAAAAAATAGTCCATCTACATGTGGACAGTTGTGAGACTATCATTTTTTTTTTTCAACTTTCACATCCCCATATAAACAATTATAGGTCCCTGAAATGGGAACTTTTCCACCTACTGAAAACTCTGTTGATTGGACAGCAAATTGTTTTGTGACATATTGATGCCATTACCTCAACATGAGCAAAGCAAATTCTGCATGTGTGCTCAGGCATGTTTATGTATTTGTTCAAAGATAATTTGGGTCATAGTGTGTCTTAAATAAATTAAAATAATCTGAACTTTGATTGCAGGTTTTAGAGAGCCTGTGTTCTTGCTTAGCTAAGTGTCTGCTAACGCATTAACTCCTAAAACCAACAGGATCTGTGAACACCACAGTGTGTTAGGGCTTTGCACTTTGGAGGTGATATGTACCTGCTCTAGGCAACGCTCCTGTCTTCAAGGACTCTCTGCCTACTACACTTCTCCAAAGATACATACAGGTCTGTTTTCAATGAAGCCCATACCTAACACACATGGAGCTGAAAGAGAAGACTGACCTACACAGGGTTTCAAGAGGTATAATCCATTTATTAAGCGATCAATGGACGCCATTCACAGGCCTAAGTGGAAATGAGGTGTTAGTCTATAATTTTTTCTAATTTTTGTCATCTTCCCTATCGTAATAACAGACTAAGCTCTCAGCTCAGTAATGTCACTGATCTCAACACAGTCTTTGAAAGCGAAGGCTGTTTGAAACAGACAAAATATTTAACTTGAAGGCAAGAGTTCAAAGTGTGTGTTTCAGGGGAATAATTAAATCTTATTACAACAAATGGGAGTTCCTTAGATAAACGACAGCGTATTCACATGTTAACAAAAATAAATATTTTTATGGCAACACCTGTGTAAAATAGAGGGGAAAAAAACATCTGTATTTAATCTTTTAATGGGCAAAGTAACATGTTCAGATGTTCAATTTGAGAGCTGAAACTCCACTTAATGCAGCTGCAGCTATTTATTATATAGCTCAGCCATTAGTGACATGAGTATCGCTGCTTATTCCTCCTCTGTCATATGTAATGTATCTCTGGCAGAGATGATTGTAATTAAAGTGAGCATCCAGTCCACACAGTCAACGCCTCTTGTACTGATGAGGCACCAAGAGGTGAATGGATAGAAATCAAGTTTATAGATCTGCGGTGCCCTCCCCCATCCCCTCACACAGGGTTGGGGGGGGGATTGCTGTTATTGTTGACCATTCGATGAAGATGGGGCCTGTTGATATGAGAAGTAAGGGCAAGGATGGTTTTCTTTCTCTGTGGTTGTTGTATTGACAGCTTCTCATCCTGGAGGAGCTGATAAGAACACAGGATCCAGGGAGACACCCAGAGGAGTGGATTGCGTTTCAGTGCCAGGAATCAGAGCTGTTGTTTTTTTTGTTTTTTTTATAGAGGATTCTTGGAGGTCCAGGGTCAATCCCTCATCAGAGTGGGTTGAAATCTAGATGTGATGATGTAAAGCTGAGGGAGAACATGGCAGAGCAGGTGGCATGTATCAGCGGGCTGTAACCTTGTAACATATGCTGAATGAAACAGCTGCATGAATCAGGGGCATCATATTTAAAATCAATAAGGGCAAGTGCATTGATTTACTAAACAAAACACAAACACAGGGGACCTTGCTGTTTGCTTTATATTAGGTAGCTGTTACAATGCTGCTTTATTTAGTGCTGCTGAGAAGAATACAGACAGGAAGAAAGGTGTCTTTAAATTCCTTTTCTTTGTATACACTGATATTCAGCGACAAAAACTTGAGAGGGAATTGATTTTTTTTTTTTTTAACAAAACAAGGGAAGAACAAAGAGTTAACCCTGTAGGAAACTTAAGAGTAATTTTACCATAAAAATAAACATAATCTATTCTCTACTCGTTCTTTTTAATCCTTTCCTATTTTGCCTTTGTTTTCTTCTGCTATGTTTGCTCTATGGCACTTTGGATCAACTGTTGTATGTCAACTGCATTTTTAAAGTGAGCTGACATAATTTTATTTGATTGTACATACTTTATTGTAGGGCCGGGCGATAAATCAAAAATTTACCGATACTGAAATTTACGACAATAACCAATGTCATTTTTCCCATGTCAATATATTCGGTGTCAAAAACATAAATAAATAAAAGTTGTTTTTGGATGTGTATAGGTAGGCTATGGTCTCATGTCCCTCTAAGACACTCTCCTATGTTGGAGGTGTGACTCCATCCCATTCGGTCCGCAACAAAAAGGGAAAGACAAGTGAGGAGATGGAGGACGGTTCAAAAGTTGTAGCAGCTGGAGTAGATGAAATTAATGTGGGAGGGGGTGAGCAGCTTGTGGAGTAGTTATCGTCCATTTATTGTTATTGAGGTGAACTGCTCAACATATCCTGATATTGATTTGCGGCCATATCGCTCAGCCCTACTTTACAGGCATCTTATGATTTTACAAAATAGGGCTGTTGTAAAATAGCTCACTGATGACAGCTCCAAAAAAGTCAATTATTGACATGGTGTTAAAAAAACAATTTATCATGTTGTGTAAATGGTTCATTGTGTGGGACTATCGTAGTTATAAACACTGTTTTTCAGCTGTTGTGAAACAAACAGAGGACGCAGAAGCAACAGCTAGTTATCTGTAGCAGCACACTAAGAAATGGACGGACACTTTGAAAACGGATGGTCCAAGATTTAAGAATAATCCAAAGATAAAAACGATAGAGCTCATGCCGCACCGGTGCATAACACTTTCTGTTTTTTAATTGTTTTCTCAAGCTATGTATGCTCAGTTACATACTCCTGGAAGAAATTTTCACATCCTTTAAAAATAATAAGTATGTTTTACAATACAGGAAAAAAGCAAACTAACACTAGACATCACAGAAAAATAATCAGGATAATCAGGTTATGAGGTGACCTCCTCTTTCAGTATTTTCAGAACATCATGTATTTATTGGTAAGGTTTGCGAGGTTCCGTGTTGTTCCATGCTTGCCTTGTCAACAAATATGTCTCTCATTAATATTGTGATAGTATTATTATTGTGAATTTTTGGGCCATGATAAAATGAAGTTGAAATGTGAGACTGTTCTTAGCCCTCATCATAACTTTGAAGATTTTTCTTACTATGTTCATGCCAGAAAATTTAACATTTATACCTTTTAATCATTTGTCAGGATGAAAAAGCCTCTGAAAAAGCCTCTGAAACAGCCGTTACAACATAAAAGGACAGAAGGAGTGGAATTTAGGATTGTGAAGACAGTAAAACAGAATTTCTCAAACTTGTCAGTTGTGCCGCAGTCTGGGAAAAGCCTCTGTGAACCAAAGCAGCCTAACCTCAGCAACAAATAATTGATGCATTACAAATCTGAAATATGGCTTTGTAATTCATGTATCTAACCCCAGTTTGGAGTGGCATTACAGTCACCCCTGAGGTTTTCTCTCTTAACACTGTGAAACAATGCCTTTTAGCCCTAAAACTGCAGAGCTGGGGGACAAATTGCAGTCTGTGTGTCATAGATCTCACCCTCAGAAGTACATTACCCCTGCTGAGCGGCTCAGGTCACCCAGTGAGAGATAATTGTGACCCCCGTTGAGAGGGAAGAGCCTAACTTACAGGAGCCCTCCTCTGTTCATCACAGTGCACTTGTTTAAAGCCTGTCTCTTCTAAGTTAAAGTGCTAATCCTGGCTTCACTCTCATCATGTTTTTCTTAAACCCTCTCCATGTTCAGAGGCTGATACAAACCAGCAGGGTGGGCCCAGAATAGATTAACTTTTCAGCCCCTCCCGTGTGTCTTATTGAAATTCAAGGTATGCCAACACTTCAGTCTAGGAGTCAAATGCTTCTTGTAGTCCTCTGGACTGGAGCTGGAGCATGAATATCTCAGCTGTTTACTTTTGAGGTGTCATCAGTTTC